AGGGTGTGTGGGAGTTTGCCCAACCAGTCTACATGTGCTTTGTGGACTTTGAGAATGTGTTTGATTGTGTCCCTTGGGGAGCCCTGTAGTGGGTATTCCGGGAGAATGGGGTACCAGGCTCTTTGATACGGGCTGTTAGGTCCCTGTATGACCAGTGTCAGAGCTTGGTCCGCATTGCCGGCAGTAAGTCGGGCTCGTTCCCAGTGAGAGTTGGACTCCGCCAAAGTTGCCCTTTGTCACCGATTCTGTTCATAACTTTTATGGACAGAATTTCTAGGCGCAGCCAAGGTGTTGAGGGGATCCGTTTTGGTGGCCTTAGGATTGCTTCTCTGTTTTTTGCAGATGATGCAGTCCTATTGGCTTCATCAGGTCGTGATCTACAGCTTTCGCTGGAGTGGTTTGTGGCAGAGTGTGACACAGTGTAACTCCTACCCACTTGATGTTCACTTCCAGGCCATTTATCTTGAAAACTACAAACAGTGGCTGTTTTAATCCCTCAGCAACTGGGACATCGACATGCCGCTGGTATATTTATTTATTGTTGTTTAATATTTTTTGATGCTTTGATAAGTATCCTGTGAACAGAACGTGCACAGCAAGTAAAATAGCTACATTTTCAAGTCTGTATCATTTATGAGCATGTTTTGAGGAGGCAGTAAACCACTCTGAGGGGAAATACATGATTGTGTGATTTAATCTCAGCAGGGTGGTAAAATAGTGACCTCCTGTGAGTTTATCTGCTCAACAGAGGCTTAAATATATCAGAACACCTGTAGCTAAAAAAAAACACAAGCGTTACCCTTACATAATTGCACTCACATAACCTGTTATTTATCATCTTTTACTAAATGAAAGTAACATTACAAGCTCACAGAGAAAATTTAATACTAAGCATGCACTAACAGTGGAGGGGTTCATGTGCAACTCAGTTTTAATTTCTTTACTGCATTACAGTCATTTAGCAAAAATGTTATTATTTAATAGTAATAAACCCTTTTTAATTTTGTTTATGACAAACTGTCCTTTTTTCTGGGGACAGCTGGAAGGTGAAAAAGAAATGGGTTGATTCTGCAGTGAATTGAGGTCTCCTTCAAAATAAAATTCTGAACCGAACAAATCTGATATTTTCCCAGCAAATTGCACAGCGTGTTAAACCAAATTTTTAACTTAGGTCAGTTGAGCTTCATACTGTAAAGACAAGAGTCTTGACTGCCATCAGATAATCTTTCTTTACTGTAAAAAGCCACACAAACAACCTCATGTCTTTGCAATGACTTTGAAAGTTACTGACATTTTCTTTGGAAAAAGAATAATTTCCTTAAGACAGGTGAACGTGGCTGAGTGGTTAGAGCAGTCCTCCTCCAATGGGAGAGCTGGGGGTTCAATCCCACCAGCAGTCACATGCTGAGATTTCCCTGGTAAGACCCTCAACCCCTCATTGCCTCTGATGTGTGTCCCATAACCTAACACTATTGTCCTAACCCTAACCAGCCATCAGGTGAAAAGGAGGAACCCAGACCCAAACCAGTGGTCATTCCATATGTTGCAGGAATTTCAGAGAAACTGAGACATTTATTTTCTAAATATGACATCTCAGTGGTTTTTAAACCCCAAAATACATTAAAGACTGGTTCATCCCAAAGATCCAGTCCCCCAGCGCAAACAGAGTAATATTGTGCATGTTGTTCAGTGTCAGGAGGGCTGTGATCAGTCTTACATCCAGTGGCTGTTTAGTTTCCCCTGGGCCAAAAGGATGGCCCAGCACAGAAGATCAACATCATCAGGCCAGGACTCTGTGGTCTACACTCATCTCCAGGCCAGCGGTCACTCTTTCAGGGATGAAGATGTTCACAACCTTGATAGAGAAGAACGACGGTTTGAGAGAGGAGTGAAGGAGGCCATCTTGTGAAAAGCAACCATCCATCATTAAACAGGGGTGGAGGCCTTCGTGTTCAACTGTCCACCTCTTACAATGCTGTTATTGTTAGTATCACTCAGCCCCCTGTGAATAGCAAGTGGTCATCATTGTGTTAACCATCGGTCGTTAGGCTGATGGTCCTCCTTGATCATGTGAGCAGCTTGTCTGTCAGCAGCAAACTGGTTGATCCACTATGAGAAGGCTCTATTTATAAGACTGAGTTTGTTGCAGCTCCTCAGACTGAAGAAGTATTTTGGATAAAAGATGAAACATTTCAAGGAGAAGAATCCGTCCAGAGAAACTGACTGAATTGTTAGATGAGGTGCTACTGTTTCAAAATGTCAGAGTTGTGTTTAATTAAGTTTAAATCTGGTTAAGGACACATCATGTGATTCTCTTTTAGTATAAACTCTATATATCAGGGATGAAGATGTTCACATCCTTGATAGAGAGGAACGGTGGCTTGAGAGAGGAAAGGAGGTCATCTTTGTGAAACGAAACCATCCATCATTAAACGGGGTAGAGGCCTTCATGTTCATATACAGCATATTGTTATTATATATTATATATGTTCACTACAGGGGCCGAGATGGTGTAGAGGCAGGGCAGCCTGCTTGGGACCCGAAAGTCCCAGGTTCGATCCCCGGTCACTGCATACCTCGTGGTGTCTCTGGGCATTGCACCTTATCCCCAAAATGCCCCCCAAGCGCCCTCAATAGCTGCCCACTGCACCACCTGGTGGTGGATGGATTAAATGCAGAGACTAATTTCGCCATTGTGTGGAAATATACAGTGATGACAATGTGATGACATCATTATTATTATTATATGTTCATATATTATATTGTTCATATTTATTGAGTGAGTCCTAAAGTCCAAACCAGATAAAGGCTGAATCTCACTGAAAGGAGTCACACATTCAGAGCTGGATGATTTTCATAATGTTTGACATACAACTAGAGTTGCATTCGAGCCTAATAAATCTGGCCCAGACCGGACTGAGCCCGTAGGTTTTTTCCCCCCAAGCCCTACCTGGACCCAATTAGAGGGCCGAACCTGAAAAAACAAGCAAACAAACAAAAAAACTTTTTTTTTTTTTTTAATTAAGCTTTTATGTTTTTTTGTAAGCAAATCAGTTTGACATGATAGTTTTAAAAATGTAAAGAAAGTAAGATATAAAATTTATGTTTATTAACAAGTCACCAAATGGATATTAACATACAAAACAAATAACCTAAAAAATAAACTCTAAAGATAGGCTATTATACAGATGAACAAAAATATTTTTAGAGCAAAGTTATTTTGGAAAATTATAGAACAAGGCTATTTTAAAAGAACGCGCTGCTTGCGTCGGCTTTTGTAGATTCTGCTACTTCCTCCGCCGCAGAGAAGAGCAGGTGCGAGACACGTGCAGCCGGTGATCAGCTGATTCATCCATCCATCTGTCCATCCATCCATTATCTTTACCCGCTTCTTCCTTTTCGGGTAGCGGGGGTTGCTGGTGCCCATGTCCAGCAGTCACTGTGCAGAAGGTGAGGTCCACCCTGGACAGATCGCAAGTCCATTTCAACCAGCTAGTCAGCAGACGTGCGCGGCCAGTGACACGTGTTCATCTGAGCTAAACGCAACTTTTTACAACCTCTTTAAACTGGCCGGTCGGACTGACCTGCCTTCTCCTCAACAAGTAGATTAACACAATTTTATATTGTGCATTTAGTTTTATTTGTGCTGTATGATTAGTAAAACTGCATCAAAGCCCAAGTCCAGCCCGGCCCGCACGTTAATCACATTATAACGGCCCAGCCTGGCCCTAATCTGGGTCAGTCCGGGCCAGGTTTTGGGTTCGGGTTAGAAATGACAGCTATACACACAACTACTGACCCAGAACAAATAGATGAGGGATGATTTGGCAGATTGTATTTTACACTTTAAACTGTTTGTGCATCACTTATATCTACAATATTTTGGGGTCAAATTTGCTGCAACTAAAGCTAGTGAATAAGTAAAGTGTGGCTCTGTGAAGAGTTATGAACAATTATTATCTTACCTGCTGTAGATCGCTCTTTGAAAAATCTCGGTTTGGAGAAGTAGAGCTTTGGTCTGACTGAACTGATGAGCTAATGAATGGTTTGTTCAGGACCACAGAGGTTTGCTGCCATCTTCAATTAACTCCAGTTTTCAAAATTTAACGGCGGTTCATGCTAACACTCTTTAGTAAACCTTTAAAGCATCATTTTCACATTACACCGTTTTTTAGTAATTGTGTAATGCAAAACTGACAGTGGAGTTTAGGTTTTTAAAACACCATTCACACAAATCACTGTAATTGTTTAAAGAATATGAAATCCACTTTGGAAGTGGGTTAACCATATTAATGAGCTAACAACAGCTAGTTCAAGATCACCTTCCAAAGTAGATTTTGTCATCTTAACCAAATTTAGTTCAAATTTTCATGTCTGTAGCTTTTTACAACACTATTTTGCATTAAAGCCATTCTATTGTAGCCTTGGCCACTATAGCTTAATCTTTGCTATACATTTAAGCAATATAAAAACTAAAAAGCATAGTTTTCTCTAACGAAAGGGATGGTTTAATGTTATATACATTACTATTTTGATCACACTCTTCGACATTACACACAGTCTTAATGGACGAGTCCTACATACAGTACAAACATTGATTTTCCATTGGTTGGCCCTTGTTACTGACGTCTATCCTGCACATCAGGTACTGTTTATGTGGAGCATTTTATTTGTGCCGCAGAACCAGCTTGGATGCCTTCATGGTACCTGTTTGGTTTAATCAGAAATTGCTGTGTGTTCATTTTCATCCATTCATGTTCTTTCTTGTCTTTTTACTATATGGGATGCAGTTAATATTTGAATCTTGTAATATTTTCCTTGTTGGAAGTTGTGAAAATGTTATCTGATTTCTTTCTTAATAAAGATGAATGCAGCTGCAAAAATCTATGCACTGATATCAAAACCCAAGTTCAGCAGTCAGATGAAAAGAAGACAAAAGTAGCTTTTATAAAGACGTCTTATAAGAGGTTTTTATTTTACTTAAATTCTCGTTTTTCTAGATGCCTATCCTGTCTCAGAAGTGGTGTACGAGTGGACTCAGGGAGCAGCCAAGTCAGTGGTGGTGGCAGAAGAAGGCTCGCGACTCAATCAGTACCATCTGATCGGCCAGACAGCAGGAACAGAGAACATCTTCACCAGTCGAGGTACAGGGAAGCGACTCAGATTAGACTTCGCCACTTTCACAGCAGATGACCAATTCATCTCGAACACCGAAGGGTTGTTGTGCAATAAAGATAAGTTAATAAAGAACCAAGTAAAACAGGAACGACTAACATGTTATAGTTGAAGGGAAAAAAAGTGTATTTCAAATTTATTGAGATCTGCAGGTAACTGGAAAGTAAAAATAAATATGTACATAGACAAACACTTGCTGGTGGAGAATAATAATGACAGCACAACCATTTAAAGAAAAAATCTACAAACCTTTTTTTTTTTTTTATCATATTCAGCCAAGCTGGCAGGTTTTTGTTTCTCTTCAAAGTTTAGTTTACCCATTTATCACAACACATAATATCACACATACTACACAAACTAGTTCAATAAAAACAAGTTGTACGCACAAGTTATATTCAACATTGATTCAAAAATTAGCTTTAAGGATCGAGGTGCATTGCTCCCACTTAAACATGTCGCCCTTCACGACATGACCACTGATAATCATCAGAAAATGAATGAACGGATAAATGTTTTTCTACCGCCACTGCTTTTAAAATCAGACAGTTTGTTTTATTTTTACTTTATGATGACAAAGTCTACACAAAAATGCACTTTTGTGTCTTAGAAAAACTATAATCTAGATAACAACAAAAAAGGTTGAATCATGTCATCTGGACTTCGTTTTTTTGTTAAAAAGAAACGTTTCGCCCCTCATCGAAGAGGCTTCGTCAGTCTGAGGCCTAGCCATCTGGTATTACCCAGAA